AAGGCTGCGCTTTATAAGGCTCGGTTTAGGTCTTGGGCTCTAGTTACAATTCTAGTTATATTATATTCATGTGTTGAAAAGGGTTCATAAGGATTCTGTAAGGACTTAAAATTGGGTGTTGTAAAGATCCCTCTCGATGGTTCAGTGTTTAAGCTTCGGGGCTTTGGCACGTTTTTTGCGGATTGAGGTACAGACAGGGAGGAGTGCCTCCGGCGATGTAGCGCTTCGAGCTCGCAACACTAGCGTGGACTACGGACTATTGGAGCCCTCCACAGGGTCAACTCGATGGGACCTCTTTGACCGTTGAAAATCAGGTTTGTGCCCTGCCCATCGATTGACCCCTAGGGGTATACCCTCAAAACTCTGGATCCTGAAGCCCACATGCCCGACACTTCTCTACAAGGCCTGAACCCTCAAACCCTTGCACACCCTTAACCTTTTAATCAACAAGCAGTACACGTCTGGAGCATCACATTCTCGATCCCAGAACTATGGCCTCCAAGCCCATGTCACAGACGGCGCAGCACACATCCCTAGATGATGACAGTGTGCCTAGGATACCCAGTAACCTAAGAATAAAAAGGCCTCTCTTTTTGGTATTGGGTAACTTTATAAGGAACCTAGGACTACAAAAAGGGAAAAAGGGTACTACTGGGCATCCTAGGTGCACCACATCCGGCAACACTACACCCGAAAACCTTGGGTTGGAAGCTTACACCTTCGACGTGTGACACCCTAAGAACACTAAACCCACAAACCGTACTGTCATTAGTCGGAAGAGGAGCTACAACGCCTGTGGAAGTAGCACCAACAAAGAACTAACTGCGCTACAACGCATGTGGAAGAACCGTACTGTAACCGTAGAAGGGGCAAAGCCCCAAAGTTTAAAACAGCAAACCATTCATCAACCCATAAACCCAGAGATCGCAATATCCCTTGTATAATTAAGGAATACACCTTAAACTATAGAGGGCTCAATATTATGATTTAAGCTATATTCCTCAACTAAGCGGTATTGGGATCTCAAGGAAGCTGCATAATACAACACGCAAAAACCACCGAAAAGCACGAAGCTCTAGTCTAGCAAAACCGAAACCCAAGACCCGGCCCAAGGTCAACCAAAAGCACCCAGCTCGAAAACCCAAGACCCCCTCAAACACTACGCCCTGAGCTCCCCGAACCCTAAAGCCTAAACCCCACTGTATCCAAACCCCTACGCCGTAAAACCCGAAACCCGAGACCTAAACCCTAAACCCTCAACCCTAAACCCTAAACCCTCGAGCTTAAGGCCCCCTTGTCCAACGGCCCCATACCACACTCTGCGGATCTCCCTGCCTTTGTACCTACTATAAGCCCTAAACCCCAGAAACCTATTTAGCGGCGCATCTCCCTTACCCCAGAACCTAATTAGCGGTTTCATACTTTTAGCCTGTCCCTTGCTTTATACCTACCCTAAACCCCACAACCTAATTAGTGGCCCGTGCTTCTAACCTGAGACTGGCGGGTGGCAAGAGGAAGTCCGGATCCTCCATTGAGGGATCCTCGGAGGCTGTTGGGCTTTCTTAGGGGAGTTTTAGGTTTCCGTTTTAGGGATCCTATCTTTTTCTGTTTTGAAGGAAAAGTGGTTTTTTGGATTTTTAGGGTTCCGTTTTAGGGATCCTATCTTTTTCTGTTTCAAAGGGAAAGTGGTTGTGAGCCGCATTCGGGCCGGCCCTCCTTCGCCGAAGCATGCTACTAGGGCCACCGGGATAATCCGACCCCTACAGCAATAAGCCCTAAGCCCTAAGCAACAAAGCCCGCAGCCACTGGATCCCGAACTTGGACCAGTTCTCAGGGCTTAGACCGCCGTCCTGCCACAATAAACCGGGAAACCATGTCTCCAATCAAAAAGAAGCTCAAAACCGGAACGGCATCGGTCTTCTTGGGAAGGAAGTAGCACGGGGATATGAATCGTGGAGCCAGAAACACGGTTGGGCTATCGAAACCTTGAAACCTTGAGCGGCAAAGCCTGCGTCGTCGAGCGGAAGCCTTGATTTGATGCTAGCGACCACAAACAGCTTCTCTTACTAGACATTCCGGCCGCTCCATAGCACCTCAAACATCCTGAAACCCTAAACCCTAAACTCTCAAGCCATCCTCAAATCATATTAGGGACGCCTTGTACGATTTAAGGTATATTCCCGAACTAAAGGATATTGAAGTCTCTGAAAACTAGCTGAAATACTATACTGAAGCAAAAACTACAATTTTAGCTGCTTCTCAGGGATTATAATAACCAAAATTTAAAAAAAAACTAAGTACCCCTAAGAAAAATGCAGAACTGGCTGTCCGGTCGACACCTATTCCTTGGGCCCGCACGGAGCTCTTGAAAAGGGGCACCTTTGTGGTTAGGGTGCGGGTTTAGGAGTTTAGGGTTTAGGGGTTTAGGGGTTAGGGGTTAGGGGTTAGGGTTTAGGAGTTTAGGGTTTGGGGTTTTTGGTTTAGGGTTTAGGGCTTTAAGCTCAGGATTTTCCAAGGGTAAAAGGAGGAACCCTTAATAAGGACCCCTAGGTATATACCCTTAATATAGCTATTCTATACGCATTATATAGCCCATTATAGGGTAGGGGTCCCCATTAAGGGTCGGTCCTTCTCCCCTTTGATTGTGTTTAGGGTGCGGGTTTAGGAGTTCAGGGTTTGGGGTTTAGGGGTCTGGGGTTTCAGGGGTTAGGATATAGGGGTTTAGGGTTTAGGAGTTTAGGGTTCGGGATTTAGGTGGTCTCAAGTTCTTCGTGATTTCAGGTGTTGACGCACTGGGGTGCAGGAGTTACGGTTTAGTTCTTCGGGCGTGTGCTTGAGACTTCGGGTTGCAGTTTGAGACCAAGCCAAGCTAAGTCAAACTCGCTGCCCGTGCTCCGACCCACACCTCCCCGCCCCAGACCCCAAACTGACAACCCGCCGACACCCTTCACTATGCGCCCCGAAACAACGAACTAGAAGCCTGCGTAAAGCCTGCAAAACAACAAAGGGTCATGTAAGGAAGACCAACCTCGACGTCGACAGTTCGAAAAAACATTCTTTGAAACAGCGAGACGGTTTTGCCGGGTTGCAAAGCCCATATTCAAGCATCGCTTCCCCACATCGGCAGTCTAAATAGGAGCATGAGCCATCGCAACAATTTCTGCAACGACCCTTAACTGCCCTTGACCCCAAATCATGGCTTTTTTAGACTCGTCCGTTTGGGTAGTTCTCTAAATGAGTGTGCCACAATAGTTCGGAGACCTTAAAACCGGGCTCTAATTTAGATAGCTACCCATTTAGCCCAGCCACCCTAAACCCTAAACCCATTTAGCCCAGCCACCGCAGTGAGAAGGTAGAAGGTGTTCCACCCCAAGCACCAGGAGTCTACCCGGCTGGCCAGGTAGTCCTCCCGTTCAGGCTTTTTGGGGCGTCAGAGGGTTTAGGGTTTTGGGGGCGTCATAGGGTTTAGGACTTAGGGTTTGGAGGTTCAGGATTTACTGCAGACACCTCATAGTAAAACAAACTCCATTTCTTTGTTGAAGGCCATACATTAGGATCCCTGCTATAAGTCTTATTCAGGGATTCAGGGAGACAGGTGCATTGACCAGGAGTCTACATTAAAGGTTGAACAGGCTCTACTCGGAGGGACACCAAAGTCTCGAAACGGTCTGCCCCTCGGTGAGCAAAAACAACATGAGCCATGTGCCTCCTTCTACACGTCCGGAAAGGACTTCTCCCCTTTCGCCATCAAGGATTCTCCACAGAGCGGGACTGACACACGGGAGTTTCCGAAAATTAGGGGTACCTTTTGTTTGGGTCCTTATAATAAGTCTCCTACTATTTAGGGTACGATATTTAGGGTCCCCTCTTTTCGGAAACTCCCACACACTTCAAAGGCCCAAAATCGCACTAAGGAGCGACAAGCAGCAATGACAATGTAACCGCTGACAGCGGCCTTTGTAACAGTCAACCTGGCAACAAATTTGACAACAGTACCAATACTGGCACCACCGCATAGCAGCAACCTACTCAGACGGCATAGATTGTTGATCAAAGCTAATAAGAACAGCGGTAGCCAAAATGACAAATATGTGATAACAGCAAGTAGTATACATCACTATGGTACGAAGCAGCAATGGTGGAGCAAGAGATCTTAAGACCCCACGAGCCGCAAGACCACACATCTGAAACCTAAACAACAATAACAAGGCCACCAAGGATGCTTTGAAAGATCTCCACGCCAACCTAAAACCCGAAGCCCTGAAACCACAGCACCACAGCACTCAAAGCCCATAGACCTAAACGCTAAACATCCCTAAACCCTAAACCCCAAACGTTACTAAACCCTAAAACCTAAACATTCCTAAACTCTGAACCCTAAACCCGAAGCCCTGAACCCTAAGGCCCCTAGGGAGTCCCCGCAATTTCGGCCTGCTCGTGATAGAGTTCCGGCGGGCGGAAGTCATCTGCAACCAAGCCCTTGAAGGGCACCGGCTTCTCCTGAGGCAGGGTCTATACGGTTTCCTTTAAGGGTTCCTCTAAGGGATCTGTAGGATTTAGGTTTTAGGGGACTCCAACATCCCTCAATAATTAAAGGAATTATACACCTAAAAAACACCATACTAGGGATCTTCGATATCCCTCAATTGAGGCATTATACACCTTAAAGACCATAGTAAGGATCTTCGATTAAGGAACTATACACCTTAAAAAGCATACTACTGTTGATGGACAAAATCCTGCATGACCCTAAGGACTCTAAACTATGGGAACTATGGTATATTCCTTATAATGGGTAAAGCAGGATTTCGTCCATCAACAGCAGGGACCCCTACTACAATTTAAGAGGGATATTGGAGTCTCCAGGCTTGCAGGGATCGGGGATCAGGGCAGGGGCCTTATGGCTCTCAGTAGCCCGTAGGGTTTAGGGCTTAGGGTTTAGGGTTTTCTTCTTCCGATGATGCAAAGTCCTCGAGAGAACGTACCACAAGCAAATGAATTCAGGTGAAACCGGCAAGGAGGGAGACAACGCCCGGCGACAAGCGGCATGACAAGTCAAGCCACTCGGTGAGCGAGCCTGCAACCTCACGAGGACACGAAAACGTGACCGAGCATGGCCGTCCCAGACTGGCAAGGGCAATCAGAGCTGAAGTCCAAGACAGGAGGGAAGACAGCCAGGGGAGATAAGCCCGCAAGGCACGGAGTGTGCAGGAGGCAGGCTCCCAGAGGAGCCGAAGCGGAACGGGAGCCGGAGGTACCACAAGGACCAGAGCAGCAATCCCGTCCAAATCAGGGTGGGCGTCAGAGAAATCCAGGAATCGCCGAACCAGGTTAGGGTGCGAAAAGGCATTTCCAGCAGGAAGCTCCGAAGTGCCGACAAACACCAACTGCCCAGAGCGGCAGCAGCGGAGAGGCCCAAAAGGGGTCAGCTGTGGAGCAAAGGAGACCGGAACAGAGGACCGGTCACGCGGCATCCGTGAAGCCAAGTCACAATGAAGGTCAACCTGCATACACAGAAGAACATCCTCAGCCTGTTCACGCAGTGCAGAACAGGGGAGCTCATTGATCCACCACTGCAAGGTGTTACGCAGAACCTGAAATGGCTCAATCGTCTCCCTCACAATCTCAAAGATCTCAGTATCGGACTGCGGACGAGCGATCCGTAATCGCTCGAGCAACGCAACAGCGATCACAGGTCGAATGGCGGGAAGGTGATCAACACCAAAACCCTCGGAGCGCACACTCTGGGCATGACGCGGCGAGGATAGATCAGGCTCAAGGAGACCGGCAAAGTTCCATTCGACGGCTTGACAGCAACGAACAGAGGTCTTAAGGTGCCACCGATGGCGCTTGACATCGATGAAACCAGTACCACAGGCGCGACACCGGATGCCAACTGCAAAACGCCGAGCCCGGGAGCGAAAACCATGCGCTCGCACCGCATGTGCGGACCATGCGTGCTCATCAAAGAAAGCAATACCGCAGACAAGGCAGGCGTTGTCAGCGGTTTCAAGCGCTACAGGAGGAGGGGGCAAAGGAGCCCAAGTCCGAACGCAGAACTTCTCGAAGGCGGCCCGCGCACGCAGTCGTGCAACATGCCAAGCAGAAGCACGGCGAAGTATGCCCTTGAGACGACCAGGAGCACCAAATAACGAAGTCCATGAGTCCCAATTGTCTCGAAGAGGACCCAAGCAAGTGGTGGCAGAAACAGCCTCAAGCATCCACGTCGCAGCATCCTCAAATGCCGCGATCGCTCTAGACGAGTGCTGGATCAGGGCAAACGCCTCATCGGGCCCGGAACGCCAGAGCTGAGCTAAGAACCGAAGTCGCTCAACAGCAATCAAGCCACGAAGACAAGGAAGACCCACCTCAGCCAACACTCGAGCCTCCGACCAATGCTGATCTGCATCACGAGGAATGCGAATCATGGAACGCAACATGCAGAAGTAGCAAGACTCAAGGACTCGCCATCCCGTTTTGCAAAAGAACGGCCATGCTCCTGCACCTGAGAACACCGCTGACAAAACATGTGTGCGAAACAGCACCACACGTCGGGCCAAAGATATACGCGCAGAGCAAGACACAGTGCGTTTTTCCTTCACGGAACAGCTGCCAGCCGCATTGCACCCGAGCTCTGGCTTCCGCAGTGAGGGAGCCGTTGTGCATAAGCACTGACCCCAAATGTCGATAGCTGGCGACAGCATCCATGATCACCGGCCCGGAAGTCTCACAAAGAACTGTGAGCTTCCCACGCCCAACAGTAAAAGTGGCCTCACGCATAGCCTTGGCGCCACCGCCGACAGGCGCAAGCAGTGCAGCTGTCTTCTTTGGCGCAATATTGGGGCGCAGCGCATGATTACGCAGGGTGTCAATGGAACAACCCGCGACGTGCCGTACTGCGCCGGGGAGAGCGGCGGCACGCTCCGCCCAGACGCAAGTCGCCAAATCGTCAGCGAATATGATGTCCTGTATGGCAATGGACGGTGCGGAACAAGTGCCGGCACGGGACGGAAAAGGCTCCCGTCGGCCCGACCAGGTCAGCCTTGGCTGAAGACCCGCATCCTGAAAGTTGCCTCGTCGGTGAAGAACACGGACAAACAGCAGGCTGAAAAGCGAGTCGGCCCATGAGGAGCCGGGCCTAGTTCCTCGACGAGTCATTATCATCTGCGAGTCCTGGTGCATGACGAACCAAGTCTGGGAATGAAGCTCGCGAGCAATCGAGCGCAACAGATCGCTGCCATCAGGGCCACTGAGGACTGGTTCTTCCGACGTATAGAACTGCAATGCCTGCAAATCGTCGTCGGACAGATGCAGCGACGCAGCAATATCGGAGATAGATGCCTGATGAGCACCACATCCAAGCAAAGTCTCGCGCACCACAGCATAGTAAGCGGCGGCTAGGTCGCAGAAGAGGATGGCACTCGATCGGGACTGTGCTCGCATGGCATCCATAAACAGTCTGGAGCAGTAAAATCCCATAGCATGACTCAGCCCCTTACGTCCTCCAAGTTGGAGAGGCGCGGCACGCTGCTCAAGCAGCTGGGAAGACAGCGGGCGCAGGGCCTTGTGCATCACCTTCTCGAGGGTATGCTGAACCAAAATGCCCCTCTCTGCGTCACAGACACCCTTAATGGCAGCTCCCGGTTTCGCGATGTGATATAAGGTACCACCCTTGTAGCCCGCAGGTTCAGAACCGAAACAAAGCATCTTCATCAAAACCGGCCAGAACAGGAGCGAGAGTGGTGTCGAGAAATGCCTGCACATGACCGGAGGTAGGCCGTCAGGCCCCGTAGCTTTCATCGGACTAACCGACCGAAAGACGTCCCGAAGTTGCCCTAGATCAGGGAGTTCGGCACACCGCAGGGATTCGTGCACGGGATTCTGAGCCTGCCGGTCCAAACACTCACGGGCCAACTATGTCGGGGAGGTCGAAACCCCCCCTTCAAGCTCAGCAAAGTGCCGTCGCCACTCATCCTGAATGGCGTCGGATGTTTCACAGATGGACCCGTCCTTGCGCTTCAGAAGTGGTAGCGGAGCAGGTCCCCCTTTTCGGAATTTGCGGGGTCGCAACAGTCTACGAAGGGCCGTCTGGGCGTCCCCTGGTAGAGCAATTTCAACTCCGTCAGCAAGCTGTTCTAGATAGGCACGCTTGTCCTGTCTGCACCGCTTGCGCAACTCCTTGCCAACCTCCCTGATGCGGGCAGCAAGGGCTTCAATGACCCCGAAGAGCTGCTGCAGCCAGGCACCAGAGAAAAGTTGGTCGAAGCTAGGCTGGTCGGGCCGCCAAGCAAGAAAGGCACATCGCAGCCGAGCATTGTCTAAAGCAACCATCCGATTACGCACAGCATGCCGCAAATTGGCAAGTGTGGCGTGGAGGGCCGCTGTGTCCTCAGAAATGAAAGACGCACGCATACGTCTGGCACGTAGAGGGAAGTCCCGAGCAAACTCAGAGAAGAGATACTCATTGAGAACCGCAGCATGATCATTAATGTTGACGTGCCACCCAACCCGGGGAGCACAAGTCAAGATCTCCTGGATTCTCGTGGCATTGTCAGGGTTGACCAGAGCAGCCGGATCGATCCGAGGAGTGCGACAACTGGACGTTTTAGTATATCGCAAAGTGCAGCAGGCCACCGCCGCGAAGTGATCAACCACAACATGGCCAGAAGAAATTTCAGGATCAACCCAAGCTCTTGTGTCAAAATGTTTCCATTCAATGGGCACAGTGGCACAGCAACATAATCACTCCGATGCAAAGCTTTAGTCCGTCGCTGAACCAGGGTACCACCATGACCACTCATCGTGGAAGCGAATGTGCATGGCAGCCAACACGAGAGCTCTTGCAAGAGCTGATGGAAAAGCCCTCCTGAAAAATCCTGGGTATCAGCATGGTGTGCACCGACATGATCAGACACGACATCACCCAGCCGACAGTTGGCATCAAAAAGAAGCAACCACGAAAGCCCTGCGCCAGCAGAGCGACAGACAGTAATCGTGGCCTCCCACCACTGTTGCTTGTGCTTCTCATCATGGGAGCGGTGAGGTGCGTGACAAACTGCAACCATGTACTGCTGGCCTAGCAGAGACAACCGGGCAATCAAACGAGTGGGGCAGGCATGCACTACCACAACACGATGACTAGGCCAGTCACCGCCTGAAGCGATCCACAATTCAATGCCAAACTGCCCTTCGGAGGTGCAGCCCGAGCAATATCTCTGATAATGCTCGGATGTCGCAGATCCCGTCGGAGTTCTAGCCTCCTGTACACCAAGCAAAAAGATTCCTTTTTCGTTCAGGGTACCGTCAAGAAGACCGATCCTCCCAGCAGCGCCATAGAGGCCTGAGCCTATACCCACGCCGGGATCCTTCGCATCCTGTAACGAGAGGGCGTTAAATGAGGCCATGGTCCAAGAAAATGTGCGGGTGGCACGAGCCTTGTCACTAGCAGCAGAAGTGGCCAGCAAGGTCCGAGCAAAAGGACGCATCATAAGGCTCGGGTCAATCCGAGAAGCAGGCTGTTGGAGTGACCAGCTGAAGACACCCGACTGCAGAGCCGGAAGTGTGTCAGCCTGAGCGAGGCTGAGACACGCATGTGGCAGCCACTTAGCAGCAGAGGCTCCTTGTCGCAACCATGGAGCAATATCAAAGGCGAGAGCCTGCGCATTACACCGCCCAAGTGCACCGATGCCTGCAAGGCCATCAGCAAGCTCATTTGCAGGATCACCATCATGCCCACGGACATGCGCATACTCAGCCACGTCGCCACGCAAGGCACGCAGAGCGAGGTGAAAGGACCGGGAAGCTATACAGATGGGGTCTGGAGCAGTGTTCACACTGCCACTCACCCCTTCAATGGCAGACTGGCAATCAGCGCGAAAGAGAATCCGTCCGCAATGATGCAACTTAAAGCCAAGAACCGCCGCCCAAAGCAAACCGACCGTCTCAGCAAGGTATGCGTTGGCTGGTGCCACACCACACTCAGCACAAAGGCCCACAGGCAAGAAGGGGCCGAAGAAGCATCCAAGAAAGCGCCCGGGCAGAGGGGCACCACGAGACCTCGCGCTGACAACGACAGCCCAGCCAGCCTGGCCAGAATGAGGCAAGTAGGCACCGTCGGTGGTAATGACGAGATCAGAGGCAGGCTCAGGAGAGCTTCCAGGCAAGCCTTCCCGGATCCAGGTATCAAAGCGGCCTGGCTTGGGTACACGAGCAGGAACGCGCCCCAACTGGGAAAAGGCGAAGCCTGAACGAAGCACATCAAGGAGGGCTGGGTCGAAGGGGAGTGCACATTGACCACAGTCAAGATTAAAATGTTCCGTGGAACAAGGCGTGGAACATGGCGTGCGCGGGAGTGCGTCATCTAGGCACAAGGTGAAGGTATCCGTGGCAGCTGATGGCTCGGCACGAGCCAGGGCAGCGACACCGCCTCCAGCAGACGCAACATCACCTCGTGCAACCCCGTCGTGCATGGTCAGTGAAGTCGCGCCTTGCATACGTTTAGCTGTCTCGTCCTCTAGGAGAACATCGAGTAGGGTGGCAGCAAGATAGAATGGACGGCCCTGGCTCAGCCGGACGCTTTCCTCAAGAAGCGTAGGTTGGGCCCCAATTTCGGGCACACCAAGATCTGCACACGACGCTGTGTAGGGCGTACTTACCCCACGAGCCAAACGCAAGGAGCGAGGCAAAGGTCGAACAGAAGCACGCCGGTCGCGGCCACGACACGGGGTAGCAATCGGTCTTGCCACACTGCAAGCCAGAGCTGCAGCAATGTCCTCAGGCGCCAATCCTCCTGTACGGTGCGCTGCAGTGTGAGATGCCGCCTCCGCACCAGGTAGCACATAGACCGAAATCAGGAGTATCAGGACAATCCATCTGTGACTTCCCATCACAAGTCTGGGAATGAGGGCCCTTCCGTCAGGGGAACCAGACAAGAACAGAATCTGCAGAAGGAATGCACATACGATGGGGTTACTGACGCTTGTGCCGCAGACACGGAGGAGGATAGAGGTGAACACCAAGCAAATGCAACCTGCTTGTTGCCACTTAACTACTCGACTCACGCGCTGCAGGACATCAATCCAGGAGAAGGTGCAACAGGCAACACCAGAATCAAGGACAGCATCAGCCCTGTGAGTGACATCTCGTACCGAAGCAGTCCGATCAATGCCACGAGCAGGCCCGTTTGAGGCCGCACCCCGTTGCTGCACGACGCTGTGATCACGTCTGGGTATGTCATGCAATGGTGCCTCAATCTCGTCAGGTGGGGGTGTAGCATCCGGCACAGCAGTCCCGACGGGATGATCACCATGGGCATCGTCAAGATCAGGCACATACACGACTACCAGAACCTCACCCTGAACAACAGGCCTAACTCCAGAATCGGGCCTAGGGCCTACAACCTCAAGCTTCCAAAAGAGAGGCGCGAACTCGCCCAACTCCTGCTCAAGCTCAGCGATCCTTACAAGACCCTGTCGTGCAATACAGACCGTCCAGCCCTGCATGATAGCACGACAATCGACGGCAACGGGCATCCAATCCTGACCAAGAGCTGGACGACGTCGGATGACACTCAAAACCGTTCGGCATGCTACCCCATTGATCTGACAATCCAACACCGCAGGTTGGGAGGGCACTACCACACAAGCATCTTCTGGCATATGACACTCGCGGGCGAGATCTCGTCTGAAAGCCCAAGGGCGTCCCGGATCAGGAACAAACCGCAGGCTATTGCCTTCTGTGGCGAGACAGTAGCCAACAACGTCCCGCACACCGTGGAAGGCAGCCCCCTGGCCCCATCCAGTAGCTGACAAGAGCATGGTGTCGATAGTGCTCACAGGCGGTGGGAGGAGATGGGCAGGTGTGAAAGTAATACATTGGCCTTGCAGCAGACGAAGCTCCCTGTCTAGGGGTGCAGGTGCGACTTCAAACCCAACCACAACATTCACCGCAACTCCAGGTGGAACTCTGGCGAGTCTCAAGAGGAAATGCACCGGTGCTACGAGAGGGACATGCAGAGTAAAGATGCGACCATCAAGTGCCAGAAGATCAAACACCACCAGAGGGTGCCGAGGCGCCCACACCGGTGCAGCTACGAAAAGACCCCATTGAGGTTGCGGCTGCGGCACCACTGCAACGAGGAAAGGAAAGCGTTCAACTTGCAAGGGCTCGCGCTGAGCCTGAACAAGTGACAACAGTCGATCAGTGTCGATGGGCAGAACATCATGTACTGTGACACGTTCAGGACGGAAATCAGGCACCAGTATCGCACAAGGCATTTCCGTGGGAGAGTCAGCAGCAGCACGCGTGGCAAGTTCGGCAGAGTCACCAGGAAAGCCATGCACAAAAACCGATCGCAGATAGGGCCATGGCAATCCGATCGAATCCGCTAGATGACGCAACTCATCGAAAACGGCTTGCTCAAGCATGGAAGAAACCTTTGGCTCTGTGAGTAATTTGCACCGGCGTAAGGCATTCCAACACATCACGGGCCGCTGTCGAAAAACAGCGCCGGGAAGCCAAGAGGCACGCCATGCAATGCCAAGAGCAGAACAGAGCACAAGAAAACCAGCTACCAGGAACCAAGTGAGATGACCATCACCTGTGAGACCACCGGAAGGCAGAGGCACACCCTGGGCCGGTTCCACGCATTGCACAGCCACAGCGCCAAACAGGCAGCCTGCAGACGTAAAGGTGCGCAACAAGACCCTATGGTCACGGGTACCATGTCTTGGAGAACGACTGCGGATGCTATCGTTATCTGACGCTGCGCGCGTGGGAGAGGCATAAGAAGTTGACAGAGCAACATCCGGGGCACCTGCTGGTACCTCAAAAGCACGGGGGTGGTTACGCTGAGTAGGGGAACCGAGTTCTTCCTCTGAAGACAGCGGCACGAATGAAGCAACAATAACCCCACCTGGGAAAATCTGAATCCACTCGCCATCCATAGTGATGTCATCAAGCTGAACCTGCCACCCATCGGGAGTGAAATGCCCTATTTCAGCAACAAGATCAGCATGTCGAACGCGACCCCCAACGGTCGCCACAACGCTCCAGCCTTGTAGCATAGCGCGACAATCAACGATCCCAAGCACTGTATTGCGCGCATCTTCTCCTGCTTCCCAAGCGTGCAAGATGCGGACGTCTTGGCATAGACAACCGCGAATCGCAGCGTCGCGTACGCTCGGGTCTGGAATTTGGTATCCGAAGACATCCCGGTCGAGCCAAGTCGCCCGAGAGGCAGCTTGAATGATGAGACTCTCAACGGCTTGTGTAACAGTGACCAGCCTGGCATTACCGTCACAGACACAGCAGAAGTGCTGTCCTGCAGGACCCGCGGGAAAAGGAGGCTCCTCACTCCACGCGTGTGGGCTTCCCAAAAGCTGCTCTAAAGTGAAGCCAGGCCGAGGCCGAGCTATGCTAGGCATGAACACGATAGTACCGGCCTGCAGGTATTCAGCCTCCTCATCTAAGCCAAGCGGAGCAGGGCTACCGTAAGGAAAGACATCAACTACAGCGGGGTCGGGCAAACCAGCTAAGTGACAAAGCTGGGCCTTTGTCGCTGAAAAAGGCACATCGATACAAAACAAACGCCCATCAATGCTGCGAGTATCACAACATGCGAGCATTTCGTTTTGCCCATGGCGGTCTGGCAAGCAAAGTCCCCCAACGTGTATCTGGCTGGGGCCGAAAGGGCACAAGCACTGGCAATAGAAGGTACCTCTCGTGGGCACGGGCATCCGTGAGAAGGTCAAGCACCTCAGGAACAGTCTCAGACCCATGAAGGTCGATTGTGACCCCTTCAGGGACGAAGTCAGGAGTCAGGAGGAAGAAAGTGGCCCTAAAAGTCGGGGATGGTCCTCCATCCTGAGAATCTTCGGACACATCACATAGGCCGTTTTCATCATCATCATCAGATACTCCATCCACAGGGATATCCGACTCCGAATCATTGCCATCGTCATTATTCACTCCTCCGAGCACACGCGGTACTGCATCAGGCCTGGAACGAGGCGAACGGCGGAGTGACACCTGCATGTCTAAAGAGCCCTGAACCCGAACGTCAATCTCAATGTTACCTGCGTGGGTAGCTTCCGAGCCTGAGGCCGTACTGTCAGGCGCTCTAGTTGAACTGTCATTGGCATTCTCAGAAGCAGAGGACGCAACATCATCGCTGCCATCCTCCGAGCCTGACTCAATGTCAGAAGCACCATCAGCCCTGAAACCAAACCTAACTGAATCCCCACAGGCAACATGGATCGTGTTGTCTCCAGCGGCACCACGAGGTGCGATCACAGAAAGATGGTATCCGACGGGAAGCCGATGGATGCCTGCAAAACGCGCCAGATATGCGATGCAGACAGGCCCACGCTGTACCCATGTAAAAACCAGGCGGCAACCGACTTGTCGTGCATCAACAAACACAAAAACGCACTCATTGCGTTCCTCCGTAGCAGGCGGTGCATGCTGTACCGCAGCACAGCGCACAAAATACTGGCCATGAAGCTCTACATCCTGAAGAAAGTCCCGCCGGGGCCATGCCACCGTGATGCGATCAGCAGGCCGCTGCACCGTTGTCGCGATTTCCTCAAGGGTAGGCCGGACGCGGGGATCGCATCCAGGCAGCACAATACAACGCTGCTCATCAAGCAACAGTGTACTTGCGTGCGGCAAAATGTGGTCACATGGGCAAGCGAACCAGGCATGCCTGTCGTTGAGCTTGCTCTGCAAACTGAAGCCCCATCTGGGCTTGCTGCCCGGCGGAACGAATTGGATCACACCACCGTGGACGGCTCGAAATTCTTCACCACAACGCAGCGGAACGTTGGCGCCAAACAAGAACACGTCAAAGCTGTCAACCCCAACCATACGCGCTGCCTTATGAAGGTCGGCAAAGTCTCCAAGAATGCACATATGCTGAGCAAAGGTTGTGCCACCAAGAGCTCTGAAATCCATCACAACAACGGCATCACCAAACTTATCGTGCCAATCCCCACACACAATGACCGAGGCAAAACCTTCGTGCAATTGCGGTGTCGTGGGGACAACAGCCCGAGCAAAATCATGTCTCAACAAGGTGAGGGCAGACCGAACCTCGTGTAAGACATCTGCCTCGGGTTCACCCGGTATTCTGACAGCCAGGGGCACAACCTCCGATTGAAACATCGGAGACAAAGCAAGAAAGTAGCAGGTCATGATTGGCTGATGCTGTTGGTAATCCAGGACGGGACGCCACGAACCGGAATCGTTACTAATGCCAGAACCGACAGGTTCAAGGACAGCATCCTCCGTATTCGAATCGCCACTCGATTCAGGAAGAGGATCAGGGACAAAGTGGAGCTCAGACTCAATGTCATGCATGGCAGCCTGCCACTCATCGGCGGGACGAGCCCATACACAGACCGGCAAGCTCCAGACCCCAACAAGTGCCAAAAGACGCCCGAAAATGCACCACGAGGTAGGAGACCGAAAAGCAGTACGGGTACGCGCAGACCGACCAGAAGGGGTCTTGCTGACAAAACCACACCGCGTCACCGAGGAACCAAGCAGAGGTGACGCAAAGGCCGCCGGGGCCCCAAGAATCGCAGGCGCAGCACCCAGAAAGAGGAACCGGAGAGCGCGCCCAACAGGAGACGTACGACCTGGAAACGCCCGGAGAATGAGACCACAAAGGCTCAGAAAGACAAAGAGGAACCAGGCTTGAAACACAGAGACCAGGAATCCACACGCATCGGCAATGCAACCTGAGTGGAAGGTGACAAAAGGCTTCCCCGAGCCCAAGGGAGCAAGCGAGCCAGAGATGGCCGGTGCAAAGCCGTAGAAGGCGGCACAAGGGGTGCCGTTAGCAGGCGGAGGAAAGCTGTCAAACCTCCAAGACAAGAGGCAGCCCAGCTTTCGCGAGGAAGACAGTATCCAACTCCGACATACAATGCCCAAAACGCAAGAGCATGATGCCGAAGGGATACGGCAAAGGCCGGAGCAGACCCTAGAGGGCCCAGCAAAACCCTGAGTGGGACAAGGTGGGAAGTTGTTTGCAGGAGGGAATCCCTGAGCCACCGATATTCCTCTTAGGCTCCTGAAACAACACATCACCTCAAGACACAAAGCCTCAGCATCAGAAGCAGAGTCAGGAAGGGAGATCGGAACAAAACCTGCCTGGGAACAGCCGATCAATCCGAAGGTTGCGATGACATTGCCACACCGATACTGAAAGTACCAGTCTGATATATCACAACCACTTTGACAAAACTGGCACTCCTGTACAGATGTACACAGTGCAATTCCACTTTCATCGTGAGACCGTTGGAACCCTGAGTCTGCAGAACGACCTGCATTATCACGAGGGCCAAAACCGAGGGGAGATTCGGCAGTGCGGAGCTTCCCCAATGAAGCTCGACACACGCCAGATCCCTCCAGCATGCCCACCTGACAATACAAATCAGTTTGCTCCTCCGGCTCCAACCTACAGCTCAGATTGCTCAGGTGCCATCGTGATCGTTCTCGTCGTCGTCCGCAAATATAGAAATGCGGCGACCACCTGTCGGGGCACCGGCGGGGGCCGGTTCCTCTGTGCCGGCTTCTCGCTGCCGAGAAGGGGCGCCTCCAAAGGGCTCTCTCGGGCCCATATCCTTCTTCTGCTTCGGTGGGGATAGCACCAGCTTCTGCCTCTGGCACCGTGCCCGATGGGACATGGCCTGGTGTGCCAAGTCCCAGGCCTGGTGGTGGTCCACGCATAGGCGTGCTCGCAATCGCGGCCTCCGGCATGACGGTAAGATCGCGGCCAGCACTCGTACCATTCGATCCGGGAACCGGCACTCCACCATGCTCCGGAGCAAGGCCACCAGGAGGTGCAGCACCGAGGGCACTGCTCGGAGAGAGCAGATATGGATCGCGGACCGTACCCGCGGCATAGTGCGGCTCCGAAGGGACTGCACCAAAGCTCGGTAGATGCCCAGGCACCAACGAGCTGCCAGCTGCAAAACATCTGAAGGGAAAGGAGTACGCGGCACCGGTCGCCCAATTCCGGTAGCACCCCGCTCTGGAGTCGCAAAGGCGGCCGCCAAATCCTGTCGTAGGGCTCGATCGTCCCTGGCTGCACGGGTGGCACGTAAAGCAGCGGCGAAGAAACCTGCATCCTCCTCGGTGGATCCAGCCACAATAGAGTCCCATTCCATATCCTGAGTCGGCTCCGGTTGAGCTGGCTGCAAGGCCTCGGCTCCACGGAGCACGAGCTCCTGAACCCGAGCTGCAGCACTGCTTCCAGACTCCATTGTATTCACGAGATCCTGTTCGATACGAGCGAGGTCTGCGAGGTATTCCTTTTTCTGCTTCGCGAAATTCCTCTGCGTCTTCGCCACATATGCTTGCCAAGCGAGATCCTTGGCCTCCTTCTCCTCTTGCAGTTTGCGGATCTTCACGTCCGCCTGCCGTGTAGTCGAGAGCGCCTTTTGGACCGCGCCCATAACTGTGACCTGCGTCGAACTCGATTGATCCTGAGGCTTCCACGGAGTCGACTGCTTGCGGGCGCTGCGAGAGCCAGCATCGTATCTGGCATTCTCTTCGTTCCGAGCCTGCGCCTTGGGTGACACTGCCCAAGCTCCATGCCAGTACGCCTGTGAAGACGGCCGTCCGCGCCCATGTCCGGAGGACTCCTCGAACTGCGGCCATTCCTTGTTCTTACCACCACGTCCCATAGGCCGTCCTAGGAACTCGCGAAAGAGCGGCCTGGAGTGGTGTTTGCCCAAGAGCACAAGGTCTCGGGAGAAGGGAGGAGCTCCGCTACGGCGGCTCCTATGGATCCGTCGGCGTGCCTTGGAACGCGCGGATCGAAGATGACGATGCCAATTAGGCGATCGGGGCGCACGAGGAATGACTCCTACGCCGTGCAACAAATGCACTGGGGCTAAGGCAATGCTGACCCGCTCTTGGGTCGCTCGATCCTCGCCCTGGTTTAGGGTTTAGGGCTTAGGGTTTAGGGTTTAGGGTCTAGGGTTTAGGGCTTAGGGTTTAGGGCTTAGGGCTTAGGGTTTAGGGTTTAGGGCTTAGGGTTTAGGGTTTAGGGTCTAGGATTTAGGCCCTTCCTCCAAAACAAAAAAGGCAAAGGCACCCGTTAAGGGGTTATTCAGGTTGAAGAAGGAGTCTGCAAGGGTATTGCTGCGGACCTAGCTTCGCATTTAGGGGTCAAAGGCCCCAAGCCGTAAGTTCCAGGATTAAGGGTTTAGGGTTTAGGGTTTAGGGTTTAGGGTTTGAGGGTGTGAGGCTTTGGGTGCGGCCGGCCCAGGCCTTGGGGTTTCGGCTCCGAGGGTAGTCTGTAACCCTGGACCTTAAACCCTTTTGGGGTTTCAGGGCCTGGGGCTGAGAGCATGAGAAGTGGAGGATTAGAGGTCTGCAGGATCGTGGAACTACGCGCTCAGCGTGGGTCTTGATT